AACTCGTATTGGCCAAGTTTCAGAGTCAAAGAGAAGGACGGAGCGAACTGCTGAGCAGTACACACGTACCTTGGTTGTTAGCTGGATGTCAACCAATCTCATACATTGAAACAAGTTGCCACACATAATCATGGCCTTTACTCCCATTTAGTAGGAACTTACCAATCAGAAGCTTGTAAACATTTTGCATACACACACAATAGTAGATCATATCACTAGAGGTAATATCTTAATCGATTAAAACAAACCAATCGAGAGGAAACATATATACAATAGAGAGATGGAAGTTTTTGGTATCACAAATCTTAAGCAGGCCACTGCAGGAATTCATGTCCCTGCTGAGATTCGAATCCGTGTCAGCACCCAGTGTGCTGCAGTCAGAGGGTGAGTCACCTACCTTACAAAGTGTGACTGAAAGAATCCAATCTGTACCAACACGAAAGATTGAGTGAATGACATTGGCTAATTCCTATTAACCAATCAGTCTACCCATTACAGTCCTGTAGGAAGTTAGTCGTGAGCCCGAATATCCCAGTGTCAACGTTACTCACTGAAGCACCGGATGACGCGAATTCAAATCTCACAAGGGATATCAGTTCCTACAAGATTGTGATGTAAACCTTTTTCTGATGAGTGTCAGCAACCCAAAAAATCGATGTAACTATATGCATAAGTTTAAAGTCTTAAAAATGCCTACACGATAACGGTTACCCACAAAAATTCATCGACAAGTATGAGAGACATCATGTTGGAAAAGTGAAAAGCAGCACAGTAGGTAAAAAGCCTATCTTTCTGCAGCTTGCATTCAAAGGTGATGATACTGCTAGTAGAATAAGATGCAGACTGAACTCTGCTCTGAATAGAACATATCCAGCCGCCAATCTCGTATGCGTTTATCAAACAACTAGTTGTTTGAGACAATCAAAAGTGGACAAATACCCTCCTCATGTTACCTCCAACTGTGTCTATCAATTAACACGTTGTACGTGCCAAAGCAGAAACATTGGAAGAACAGAGAGAATGCTTATTATCCGCATTTATCAACACATACCGAAGAACCTTAGACTGAAACGTCCGCACGCATTAAACAGTGCGATTACTCGTCATCTATTGGACACTAGTCGTATTGTAGACAACCTGAAGTCGTTAGAATAATCAACAAGCAAAAGAAACCTAGCCTACTAGGCTTCGCTGAATCAATTGCCATCAAACGACTTAAAACAAATCTATGTACGCAGAAAGAGACAGTGGTGAATCTTGCACTGCCTTGGTGACCTTGGCGGCCTGCTTAAATCTTGGGCTACCAATTACCTTAAACATTACAAATCATATTGCATCTAATTTCTCATTTCTAATTGATATTTTAATCAATAAATCTTATTCAAATATGACCTCAAATCGGATTATTTATTCTCGTGAATATCTAATATCTTTAAAACCTACTGATCTGCAACTCCATAAAAAAGACAAGAAAAAGCATCATGCCGGCTGGCAGAGAGCATTAAAAAATACCCCTATTCAATTCATGACTGTTCCCGCAATTATGAGTACCAATTGTCGCTCCCTGCCGGCTAAAATTAACTGTCTTCAATCGCTGGTGTCTTCCATTATATATCATAATACTGGGATCATATCACTTCAAGAAACATGGCTTCATGATCTATATGATGACAATCTAGTGTATCTAAATAATTTCAAACTATTCAGACAAGATCGGTGTAGTTCCAGGAAGAAACGCGGTGGCGGTGTCGCCATCTTCATCAATTCACAATGGTGTACGTCTAATAATGTATGTTTCAAATTCTCTAGTGACAATATTGACTGTCTCACCGTTAAGTGTCGACCTAAACATTTGTCAAAATACAACTACATTTACATCTCGAACATGTATATTGCTCCTGGATGCAACTCCACAGAATTATCTTTATTTGCGGATGAATTTACTTCCCTTGCTGCCACCTCCTTCGGAAATTCCTTGTCTATAGTTACTGGTGATTTTAATTCTAGTGACCACAGCTTCCTAATTTCACTTGGACACGATAATATTGTCAACTTCCCGACTAGAATGGACAACACTCTTGACCTTGTTTTCACAAACGATGCAGGAATATTTGAAGCTCGAAAAAGAGCCCCACTACTAAATTCAGATCACTGTATCATAAGAATATTGCCCAAAGTATATGGAAAGCAGCACAAAAGGGTCTTCTCATACCTTGGAAAGAAAACACAACACAGATGTTATTCCCATGACAACATACTGAACCTAAGGTCCATGTTAAAAGACACAAACTGGGATCTATTTACTGAACAAGCTCTTGATAACACAATTGCCAACATAACACATTATCTTAATTTCTGTCTTGATGTTTGTTGTCCAAAAGAGACAATCTTCTTAAAATTCGATCGCTTCTCCTCTTCTCAACTCAAAAAGCTCCGCCGTGAAAAAGAAAGGTTGTTCAAAATGAAAAACAAATCTGGTGTTAAGAGAATGAACACTTTGATTAAGCTTGAATTACAAAGATTGAATGCTCTCTATAACCAGAAGTTTCTTTCATGTAAATCCCCATCAAATATGTGGAAGTTATTAAAGGAAATCACAGGTGGTAAGCAAATGTTGAATGATATTTCTGTAGATGTTAACATGCTTAATGAATCCTTCATATGTATCCCAGCAAATGTTATGATTCCTAACTCAAATAGTGTAAACAATGACTGCTTCTCATGCTTAAACACGAATGATGTCCTCAAGTGTCTTCAATCTCTCAAGCCTACTCAGTCCCTCGGTCCTGATGGTGTTCCTGCTGTTATCCTTAAGAGTGTGCCGACATCTTGTGTTCCCCGCTAACTGACATTTTCAACGAATCGTTTTCCAAAAGTATTATACCTGAATCATGGAAAAACATCAAGATCGTTCCAGTGCCTAAATCTACAAGTGGACCTAATGTTAAGTTTAGACCCATTTCAATTACCTCACCCTTTTTGAAAGTTATGGAAAGACTTATTTTACTTAATCTTGATCCCTCTTTAAAACCTTTCAACGACCCCAACCAGTTTGCTTATAAACATAGTAGGAGTACGTTAGATGCCGCTGTCGTCCTCCACCATAGCATAGTCTCTAGTTTAGATAAAGGAGCTAAATACGTTCGCTGTGCCTTCCTTGATTACACATCTGCATTTGACTCTGTTCCCAGGTCTCTCTTGCTAAGTAAGCTTGCTGCAACACAGGCTGAAAGCTGGACAAATAAGTGGTTGCATTCCTATTTTTCTGAAAGGAAGCAGTACACCGTCTACAATGGAAAATCCTCCACTACCTCACTTACTTTAGCTGGTGTTCCTCAAGGTGCTGTTCTTTCTCCCTTTCTGTTCTCGTTTTTCTTACATGACTTGCCTCATTCTGATGTAGCCACTTTTGTTAAATATGCCGATGACCTCTCGGTTTCTATGCCTGTCAACTCTCAGTCAGATTGTTCCAAATTAAATAGCTTTCTGTCGGAAATTAGTCAGTGGTCCTCTTCAAACGGACTTAAGCTTAATCCGTCTAAATGTCAGGTAGTCAATTTCACTTTCAGACGTAAATGTGACCTACAGCAACTAGTTAGCTCACATGGCCCCACTCTCATTGACGGCACAGAGGTTGAAAATACATCTTATGTCAAGTACCTTGGGCTGAGTTTTTCCACCGATCTTTCCTGGTCTTCCCACATCTTGCTAGTTACTAGAAAGATGTTTCGCTTAACGTTCTACATTAGGAAATTTAGGCAGTCTGGCATAAACCAGTCTTTACTTTCTCAGTTTGTAAATTCTTGTATTCTACCCATCCTCCTTTACTGCTCCCCATTAGTCTTTCCTGGACTACTTAAGAAAGACTTTGCTTCGCTGAGAAGGGCACTAAAAGCTGTTAGTAGGGCAAGTGGGATATCGTTAAACCAACTGGTGAACACTATTGTAGATAGACATATTATATCATGTAAGAAACTAGCGAATACAATATTGTCGGACCCCAAGCATCCTCTCTATACGCATCTATCTCCTTGCATTTCATCTGGTAGAACTAGAAGCAGCTATAGGAGGCTATATGCTAGGACTACCAAATACAAAAACTCCACAATACCATATCTGGCACAGCTGTTATGTGATGAGAAATCCGTTAGGTATGACACGATAAACTTACTGCGGCACTCTAACAAATAGTCCCATTAGTTTTTGTTTTCCTTTCCTCGTTACTACTACACTGTTGTTCTCATTTACTACCACACATCAACTTTATATTTCAAATCCTGTGTTGCATTGTTTGAAATGAAATACTCTACGTTGTTTTTTTCTTAATTTTAATATTTATTTATTTTATTTATTTATAACTTATTTATTTTATTTTTATTTATTTATCTTTGATTTTTAAAAATCTTATATAATTTATGAGGTAATTAGATGCAATATACTGTAATGCACGCTGAAAATTCCATACCTGTACCACAAATACTGTTTGGAATAAAGCTGCTATTATTATTATTATATATACAACTTTCATGAGTCACCTTTTTTCATGTTTAGAAAACTCTACTCTCTCTCATCTAAACATGACTCACCCTACCTTGTTTCTTTTCTTTCTTTTTTTCTATTGGCTATTAGATAAGACGTTTCCTTTAGTTACGTAATCTACATTTTTGTTATGCTCTTTCTAGCTAAACCTTGTTTCTATACACACACACATATACACAACTCTGTTTTTTTGTTTCCAAGCCTAATTGTCAAATTATTCTGTAAATAGTCAGTGTTTGTAACTCTTAATCAGTTAAATCATTCCCTGTGATCGTGGAAAAGTATGTTCAAATCTTTAATGTAATTCAAATATTTTTTTTATCGTTCAGGTTGTAACGAGTTGAAAAGAATCCTTGTGAAATAATAATAAAAGATGAGGTCATAATATTACCCTGGTACAATTGTTGTTCTTGATTTGTTCAAGTTTCTTAAAAATGTTTATTTTTCAAAACTCTACTTACTTGATGAAATAAACATTGGGATCGTATATTGAATGCATACTGTGGACATGATCCACTCAACCAGGCAACATTTGAATGAAATTGATCCAGATTCATTGTTGATGAATTTAATTGCACTTTGTTATTATTAGCCATCAATCCACACCATGGTAAGCGTACAATTAAATAGGTGTGTTCAACTAATATACCAGAATCATTTTGTAATCTAGGTGTATATTTTGATGTGAATAACTTTTGATTATGATTAGCGTTTGATAATTTCAGCTCTTTACCTTCTGTTATGCATATTATTGTCTCTAGCATAATATGAGTATTGTTGTCTTGGGATGAGGATGGCAACAGTGAAGATTTGATTACGTCATGTCTTTTAACCTGTAATGTAGGATGTAATAAACATATACAACATCATATTGGATAGAAAGTAATAATTTAAACTTTTGTAAATCATCATGAGTTGATATTGGTTAGAGAACCATTGGAAAACCTGGGAGTACCTAACAGCTGTTTCGTCCTAATTTGAGACTCTTCAACATTACGCGCCCACCGCCAAGGTTCGAGCCTAGGACCTTCTGGATGAAAGGTGAGCTAGCTCATAGACCATTAAGCCACTGGGACCCAATCCAATGGACAGTGCATGAATTCTGACTTCTGCCAATTCACGATACAGCGCGACCCCGCAGCCAAATAGGTTTACTGTGGAATAAATCAAAATTAAGGTTAAGGTGTCTAATGCGACGCTCATAAGATACCACAAAAGGTGTTAGTTGGTCTAGATAGCAGGACAGTGGGTATGAAAGTCAAAAACCACTATGGATTGTGTAATAACTTGCCTGTCAAATCAGCCATCTCTGAAAATGAATAGCACTTGAGCATTGGACCTATAGCATACCAGTGCTGCAAACTGGGATTGAGCAGGATGATAGAAAACTGACTTGGTCTGGGAATAGAATGACACTGGCGAATAGGAAAGGGTGATGTGGATAGCAGGAAGCCTCACGCATAAGCCTTAAAGAAAGCAGCTATAGGCGCAGATCTTAGTGGTAGTGGCAGATATTCAAGTGAGAACTTTGAAGTCCGAAGTAGTGAGTCAGGTGGTCCTAAATGATCCGGTAAATCAGATCACATACGGGTTATGTCAGTAATGCTGGTAAATTGTACTGCTGCAATACATGCCTCTGTAGTGAAAGGGAATCAAGCTAATATTCCCGACCATTTCCATAGAGACTGATCCAGGGTATGCCAAGGCCGGTAACGCAACCGAATTCGGAGAGGTCAGGAATACTGAGAAGAGTTCTGTTTTCTTTGTTAGTGACGCACCCACCCCCTAGAAATGGCTAGGAGGCTAGCTCCTATAAAGCGCCATCTTTTTTATGGAAATTCCAACCAGGAAGCATAACTCTCATGACAGGCCACATCTATATCTGCAGCGAATCTCCGAGGTGGATAGCCTCTGAAAATTAAACAATGTAGGCAAAATAAATCGGGAAATAGGATCCATACCTTCACTAGAAGGAATGGCTCTGAGGGCAAGGTCAGACAGGTCAAGATCAGATACATATCGATCCATTGAGGAGCTGTTCTCTTTGTTTGTTTGCTTATTTCGATGCTCATTTTTGTAGAGTTACTGAACTCCAACTATGACCGATTTTCGGCAGTTCCAGCTGTTAGTATCGTATAGGCTAGCAAAGCGCATGGAGCGGCTAACTCTGAAGTGACACAGACCAGAATAATCAGACTGTCTTATTAAAACGAAGAGCATTGAGATGTCTACTGACCAGTTTTGACGCCCAATAGCTATGAATGTCAAAGCGAAGAGGTCCAACCAAGCGCAGGTGAACCGTGCTAAAACTAACTCATCCTAAGACTTAGAACATAGTTAAATATTAAATAGATATCATGTTGGAAATAATAATCAAATCATACATCTATGAACACACCAGCTGACAACAGATTGTCTATATTATGGTAATAATAACTTAATATTTACACACAGATTACTGCAGCATAATATATATTCACGAAACTGACACAGGATATTGCTTACCAGTGAATTTTCACCTGATGAATAAACCTTATCATTTCTAACAATTGTATGGCTTTGTTCCGTGTTTCGCTGATCTAATAATTAAAGGTGAAATAAACAGTCAAATATAAGAAAAGAAATTATAAACTGAAGATATAAGCACAAAGAGTTGGGAATATGGATTTTTATTCATAAGATAAACGATATAAATGCAATAACTGAACCAATTAGGAATATCTCACCCTCCAATGATATTCCTAATTGTGGTGGACTGACTGGATTATGCGTCAGACAGTGAGTGGGAAACGAGAAGACAGGGATATTCTGGACAGACAGACAGACAGACGTGAAGAACCTAGAAGACGTGGATTTCGCGCGTCGATGATTTATGCTTGATGTCACTGTCACAAAATCGAAGACTTACAAGCGAGCGAAAACTGACAAACTGGTCGAAGAACTAGCCGGCGAAGACAGGACTCCAGGTGAACATAGAAAAGACGGAGGTTATGAAAGTAACTAATCAACCAACAACAACATCAGCTACGTCCAGTGCCAATCACCATCAACGGGAGGGATTTGTAAGAGGTTACTTCATTCACTCACTTATCTAGGGAGGGAGCATTGTCTCAACTACAGGCAGTCGGAACGGACGAGGATGTCAAATCGAGGGAAAATCGGGAAGGTGAGAAACACATTCATCAACCAACCTGAAACCAATCTGCAAATCTTCGTCACTCAGCCAGCATCAACAACAAAATTCGCTCGGATTTTCAATACAAACAACGTCAAGTCAGTCAGTTCTTCTATACGGACGGATCACAAACTTGGCGGGCGGGTCACAAACAATATTTCTAACAGCCTGTTGCAGACCTTTATCAACCAATAACTGTCTTCGCTGGCTCTATACTGAAGATCAGATGGCCGGGCCGGGCCGAAAAGAATCACCAACAAGAAACTATGGGAAGAAACAAAACAAGAATCAACCGACCAACAACAAATATGTAGGAGAAGGTAGAATGAGATAGATTGGACACTCGCGCGCTGAGGAGGCCGCTGGGTGACATCACGCGCGCGTCAGGCTATCGCTCGAGTGGAACCAGGCCGAAAGGGAAGCGGCGAGTGGGACGTCAGTGCAAGGGTGACATGGCGGAGACCGTGTGAAGAGGAGTTGAAACGGTATGGACTAACATGGATGCAGGTGAAAAGTACAGCAGAAGACAGAAGAAAATGGAGACGTGCAGTTGAAGCCCTATGTTCCACTAGGAACCTAAAGGAACAATAATAACAATAACTGAACTGTAGTCAGCTGTCAGTATATATATGACAAGTGAGTGAACTTTCAAATGCTGGATCTTAAATCTCTTGGAAGACAATTAAAAACCAAGTTGTGCTGCATGTTAGACTCGTGATCTTATCCAACATCTATGAAATGTCTGGCAAACCAACACACACTGGAACATTTTTATTTTAACGCTTATTATTGTCTGACTTGACTACAGGATAAAATTATTAGAGTTCTCCGGTGAGAAATCGTGACCAGTGGAGAAGGGGGGCAAATACTTTTCGACGATATTGGGGCAGTGGCGTATAAATTTAATATCCTGGCTACAATCCTTGACAATGCAATCTTGTGCGCAGAATGCGGAAGAGTTTTAGACTAGGACGAAACATCTAACCCCCGCCTTATGCACATCTTGGTTCCAATGATTCTGTAACTGATGTCAGTTCATAATATGACTTGAAAGTGACAGAACATCTGAACTTCTTACGTTGAAGTAAAGTGAAACAGGCTCAATTTTATGCTTTACTGATAATCTGACCGCTGGTTCAACAGTTTAAGAATTCTGTATAGGTTATGGATCTGGTCAAATATTTTAAAAATTATTTTCTATAGTTTGGTTTGTAAGGGTTAGTTTTGTTTGTACGAGTTGATCATGGATTGATATCAGTTAGAGAACCATTGAAAACCAGCACTGGAGTACTCGATAGCTATTTCATCCTAGTTTTGGAATCGTCAGCATCATCACCACCAGGGTACGAACCCAACACCTTCTGGTTACAAGGCAAGCTACCTCGTATACCATTCAGCCACTAGGACCCGATTCCATAGTCAGTTCATGAACTCTAACTTCTACCAATTCGTGATTTAGCGTGACCCCAAACTTTGCCGTAGGTCTTTGGTTCGAATCCTTGTGATGGGTACCTACTACCGATGATTCACAAACTAGAATCAAACAGCTGTCCAGTACTTCCTGATTTTCAATGGTTCTCCAACTCACACCAATCCGTTATCAACTCGTAAAAAAATAATTTTCCCCTCTACACATCAGAGAAACACACATATAAGATGTAACATCTACATTTTACACGCTTCAATAGATTTTTCACATTAGTTGACTGAAAGTACCTGACAGGTTGTTGCTAAGTCGTTCAAAAAAATACACAGAATTATGAGTGAACTAGTATTTGGACAAATTTATTCTAGTGTTTTTGAATAGAGCCAAGAAACATGTCGGCTAACCATCAGTTCATTAGTTAGCAATCGACAGTCAATTGTCTTAATTGGTCTGAACGTAACGAAAACATTGTTGCTAGGCGAGTCAAATGCATTGGAGCAAATGTGTCCAAATACTAGTTCATTCATAATAATAGTAATAATAATAATAATTTAGCGACACGACGATCACCTTCAGTCGTCATTGTATTGTGTATAGATGCGCGTTGTGTGATATAATATAGGATATAGCTTAGCAGCTCATACCATATATATTTGTTAATATATACCTTGGGCTAAGATATACATTAACTAGAATTAGGACACGCCCATTCACAAGCGTATTTGTCTATCTTGTAATAAATATGCTGGTTACGGAAACATATAATAAATAATCAGATATTTGCTTTGTAATAATTTAACTAGTTTCTTTATGTTAAAAAATAGCATGAAGCAGTTAAGATAATGTTAGGACGGACTAAATATCGTTGTTAATCGTGAAGTCATGAATGGTGCATGCAGTGGCATGATAAGCTGACTGGACACTTTTTGATTGGTTTATTTTTGGATGGCCTTCAAGGTCATATATTCAATAAGATATTGATTATTTATTCCTGGTTTAAATTCCCATGGATGTGTACACAATATGTTAATATTTTTTTCTTTAGTTCCTAGAGGGACATAGGGCTTGTGCCCCACGTCTCCATTGCATTTGGTTCTCCACCAACGTTTTCACCTGGCATTACGTCTGCTCATATGCTTTCATCTCCTCTTTGCATGACCCCCTCCCCCATGTCACCCTCACAGTGACGACCAACTCACCGCTCTCCATTCAGGTTCCATTCGAGCGATGGCCTGGCGTGTGATGTCACTTGATGGTTTGTTTTTTCCACGTGGGGCTAATCCACCTCCATTTCTTCTTGCATATTTGTTGCACAATTGGTTCGTGATGGGTTGGTTGGCTTCCCGAGATCCTTGTTGCTTATATTCTCTGGCCATCTGATCTTGAGTAGTATTGAGCAAAGACAGCTATTGATGAAGGACTGTAAGTCACTCGAAGTGCCCAAACTACTTTTACAAGTATATCGTTTTTTTATTATGTGCAAACGATATACACAATAATGAAAAGGTACCTGTAGCAGTTAAATATGACCAGTGTCTATCTCAGGGAGGCGGCGGCGGGGGGGGTAATATTTTGAAGTGATTAATAGCGCCACGTGTGGAGGAGGCTGATTCAAGTCACAAGTCAGACGGTAACCACAAATACCAGTTACACTCCTCCATAACAGACAGTTAATGACATGACATTACATTTTTAACTTTTTTCAAAGTTGGTTGTTAAACGGTCTGAAATTGTTGACACAGAGTTTAAGCTAAATTATTTAGTCGACTAATATACTTTCATTCATTCATCTCATTCATCTAGGCAATATTATGTATTTTCGTGAGGCCTCCACACCTCAAAACAGCGGTAGGCTTAAATTAGTAGGCTAACCAAAATTTCCATACAGGAAAATGTATCACATTTATTCTATTTCTACTTCAAGTAGAGCAATGCTGCATTAAATGATGCCTTTTCGATTGAAGATTCCACAGGTCAACTAAATACTTTGTACTAAAACACACTGAGAATTCTGTACGACGTACTAAAACATTTTTTAGGTACAGGTCATTATTATTATTATTATCTTTATTGTCATTATTATTATTGTACTTCTTTTATTATGAATTGATATTAGAGCCCTACTGTAAACAAAGACTTTTGTGGAAATAATTCAGAGGACAAGGGGTAGAAGTTAAACAATAGCGCCCCAGAGGGGTACGTACGCTCAAATGGCCTTGAACGCATGCTAGTCGTTGTCTTACGAAACCTGTCTTTATTTTATAGCGCAAATATAAAGGCTATTCACCAGCTGAGAGGAAAAATTCACCCAGATCATATCTTTAAACACTTTTTGGACATTGTGCTAATAGCTCTTTAGGGTTAGGGGATAAGGGTTAAGGTACGTATTAAGGTTAGGATTAGGATCGCGGTTATGATTAAGATTAGGGTTACGATTAGGGATAGATCTGGAGTTGGTATGATTTATTTTTAATTGCATCGATTTCTGTGCAAAAATCACTTAATTTTATGGTTGGTCAATTCAAGGGCACTCTTGCGTTCACATCTCTTTGGGATGCTATTTGTTTAACTTTGTTGACAGGGGTTGTAAAGACAATAAACTTAGTTCATAAAATACTTACCGTCTCTACTGCAGCTCACAATGTTTCACTAAGTCACTGAAGTATCCACAGAACTAGGGATTATCGTCTCTGATAGAATTACTACTTTTGTTCCATATATTATGAAACCAATTGGGTGAGAGGTAAAGAATACCTTAATCGGTTGCATAAAGCAAGGCATCGCTAAAAAGTGTATACTATCCATATAGTGACACAAACGGTGAAACGACACATGAAAAATCCTACCCTCACAGTTAAAAGGTTTGAAAATTGATTTCCACTTACAGCCCTTTCCTATCAAGTGAACAGCTATTTCACCTTAGTTTGGCAATCATTCTGGGGTGTGAGAATGCTACTGTCTGTGTGGGGGGACGAGTG